TACAATAGAAAAATGAATAGGAAAAGAGAATCATAAGAAAATAGTAAGAAAAGGGTACAGGAGATTTGGACATTTCCAGGACAGAACGAGAAAATGGCTACAAAAAATGTTGTCCAGACTTTGCTTTTTAAAATCCTTTAACAAATGAAGTGCAAAATGGAGGAAGGTGAGACTGAGAGAGAGAGAGAGAGAGAGAGAGAGAGAGAGAGAGAGAGAGAGAGAGAGGAGAGAGAGAGAGAGAGAGAGAGAGAGAGAGAGAGAGAGAGAGAGAGAGAGAGAGAGAGAGAGAGAGAGGGAAGAGAGAGAGAGAGAGAGAGAGAGAGAGAGAGAGAGAGAGAGAGAGAGAGAGAGAGAGAGAGAGAGAGAGAGAGAGAGAGAGAGAGAGAAATAAACAATATATAATAATCACAGTTAAGAGTAAAACGAAAAGCTACCTGCAAAGGAGGGAACAGAGAGAGAAAATAGAACGAATGTGTAGGAACGTTGTGATGCCATATTTTACGATGTTTAGGCGAAGAGAGGGTTGGAGAGAGAGGCCGGGGAGAAAGAAGGAGGAGGAAACGTAGTGAGGAATTATGGAGGACACAACAGGGGGGTAAAGAGAGAGAAGGGGATAGGCAGATAGATGGATAGATAGACAGATAGATAGAGAGAGAGAGAGAGAGGTATAAAGAGAGAGACAGACAAACAGAAAGATAGAGAGAGCGGGAAGTCAGGGAAAAAAAGAAGAGAATAATTGTGAAATAAAAGAAAGAGCGGGAGAGAAACAGATATATAATCAAGGCCGAGAGAGAGAGAGAGAGAGAGAGAGAGAGAGAGAGAGAGAGAGAGAGAGAGAGAGAGAGAGAGAGAGAGAGAGAGAGAGAGAGAGAGAGAGAGAGAGAGAGAGAGAGAGAGAGAGAGAGAGAGAGAGAGAGAGAGAGAGAGAGCGAGGTTGACGTCTTCCCTGCTCCCAGACACCATTCATAAGCGGTTAAAGTCAGTCGCATCCTTCTTTAGGCTCGTCGGCGCAACTACGAAAAAAAACTCTTCCTCATTTCGTTATGGTTAGAAAATAGATAATTTCATGAGGATAGACAGTTAAAGTGGATATTTTTGGAAGCATGTCGATGAAGTAGGACTTGTGAGTGCCTTGCTGATGTGAGAGAATTGCGATTTTCTCTGGGAAAAGGAAAAGGTTGAGTCGCCATGGAGGAAGAGAAAAAGGAAACAGGTATGTTTATCTCGACCCTTGGGGAATATTTTTGTACCTAAGTTTTGTATAATGAATTGTGAGCCCGCACAGGGACTTATTAAGTAAGGGTGAGGATAACCTAAGTTACCTCATCCTTTTGAGATGTAATCTTACTTTTGTCTCAATAAACGTGTCAAAGTCAAAGTCTTGGGGAATTCCTCACGTCCCTGGGGTTAAGAACTACTGTATTAGAGAAAACCATGTTGTTTCATATAGATATTCTTATTTCTTATTTGGAATTTACATTAATCCATTACATGTGTCTCTAAATGACACCTCATAACGATCGTGTCTGCTGTACCCATTGAAGAAAAAAACTTTATTACAATTCTATCTATTAATGTGATTCAATTCCCTTTTAAAATGTAGTAAAATAGATAATCAAATATAGAATCCCATTAATACTACAATAATTAAACTTATTAATGATTGTTAATTGTCAACCTGAGTTATCATTACTCCAAATATCTTCATGAAAATACTTAAACTATTTTTACAAATTGGAGTAGAAATACGTAAGCGTTATGCGATTAAGTAAAACATTACAGTTGTCTCAGATATATCACCTGTAATACTACTACTACGACTACTGCTATCTTTATCATTATTTTCTGTTGTAGTTGTTATTGTTATTATCATTGTTATCATCAGTATCATTATCATTATTATATTTATGATTATGATTATGATTATGATTAGGGGTATGATTATTATTACCATTGTCATTATCATTATCATCAATATCATCATTCTTCTTATCATTGATATTATTATTATTATCGTTATTGTTATTGTCAGTATTATTACTACTACTATTGTTATTATTATCATTGCTATTATCATTTTTATTTCTGTTATCATTATTGATATTATCATTATCATTATTATTGTTTTCATTATTTCTATTATCATTATCATCATTGCTATCATCATTATTATTTTCATTATTATCATTATTAATATTTTTATTATTGTTGTTATTATTTTCATAACTATTATCCTTATTTTCATCATCATTATTATCATTGTTAGTATTAGTAGTAGTAATAGTTGTAGTAATATTGTTAATAGTAGTATTAGTATCAGTATCATTAGTACTACCAATGTTATTTTCATTATCATTATTATTATTGTACTATTTAATTATAATGATGCTCATAGATAAGAGATATGATGATAATGTTAATAGAGGTAATAATTCTGATAATATCAAGGAAGATAATAATGATAACATTAATGAAAATGATGACAGTAATAGTGATGATAATGATATTACAAAAAATTACAATTTTTGATGATGATAATAACATTAATAACAATAGTGATGGTAGCAATAATATTAATGGTGAGGATAATAGCAGTAATGATAATAAAAATAATAATGATAATACTAATACTAATGCTGATACTACTACTACTACTACTACTACTACTACTACTACTACTAATGTTAATAATGATAATGATAATAAAAATGGTGATAATGGCGATAATGATGATGATAATAATAATAATAGTGATGATAATGATGTTAAGAATAAGATAATCGTTATGATAATAATGATAACAATAATGATTACAAAAATAATGAAAAAAAGATAATGCCGATTATAACGACGATGATAACAGCAATATTAAAAGATTAACAATTTAACCAATAATACCGGCAATAACAGTGATAATAACTAAAATAAATCACCCCGATGACGTCATCCCTAACATAGGGGGTTCTTAACCTAAGATCCTTTTATCCCTTCGAGGTTACAGATGTTGAAGTTTTGTTGTTTTATGGAATTTTCAAGGGGAAGGGGATCCAAGGCTTTCAAACTGATTCTTAAAGGGATCCGGGACTCTAAAAAGGGTTAGGAATCCCTACCCAAACTCTATCTTTTTTTTCTCCTCTTAGCAGACGAGCCCCCGCGCGGCTGGTGGGCGAGGCTGGGCAAGAACGAAAAGTTTCGAAAGATGGTCGGCCATTTGTCGTTAATCTCCGCCCTCTTGGTCTACACTTTCATCGGCGCTCTGGTACTGGTTGACGGAGGTGGAGGTTGAGGGTGGTGGTAAGGTGGTGGAGGTGAGGTGGAGGTGGAGGGAGGGGAGGGAGGGGAGGTGGAGGGAGGTGGCAGGTGGAGGGGAGGAGAAGGGAGGTGGAGGGGAGGGAGGGGAGGTAGGGAGGTAGGAATTGTAGGAAATTGTGGTATCAGGATTATTACTATCATCGTTATATTTTTTATTTTATTTTATTATTATATAATCTATTATCAACTATGATAATTATAATAATGGTAAAAATTATTATCACTATTTTTTATTACATTATTATTACATCAATCATTATTATATTTAATTCTACTTCAGTTGTTTATTTATCTTATAATATTACTATCATGAAATTATTGATGATTATAAAATGATAATAGTTTTTCCATATATGATACTATTGTCTTTGTTATTATTATCATTATCATTACCATATTATCATTTTATCAACATTGCCATATATTAATTAGTAACAACAGTAATAACAGTAAGTAGTAGTAGAAGTTATTGTTATTGCTTTATCATAAGACATAATTTATAAAACATTTTCTCTACCATTAAGGTGTTTCAAGCAATAGAGTACGACGAGGAGGTGATTCAGCAAGAAGCCGTGAGGGTTCAACTCATGAAAAATCGCCGCCATTTTATACAAGAGATCCTTAATCTAACAGAGAGCGCTGGGTTATCCTCTATTTTTTCTTCATTGTCTGATGACCTAGGTGAATTAACTTGATGATCTGTATATTTGAATTTTCTTGTATGTAAAATAATACTATAGTTTGTGTTTGTACCATTATGAAGGTATTTTATGTAATGTATGTTTAATTTTTTTATAAATGTAAATGATCGTAATGTGATGCTATGTATTTTTTGTCGTTTCTTTAGATTATTGTCCTTGTTTGATGTCAAATGTTACGATACTATTAAGAATACAAGATATACAGGTAGAAGAATGTAAATTGGTATGTTTATTTACAATTCTTATAGCCAATACAATGAAACACCTACAGCACTTTATAGGCCTATGTTGTCAATCATTACGTTTTTTTGCAAGGACAATTCCCAGTAGAAACAACGTCCGTATACATCACAGCTACTCTCAATTTACACATTATATTTTCTAGAATATCCAGAAGGAGAGATAGGAGAAAGCCTCGCCGAAGGGGAATGGAAAGACGAGAGCGAAAGAGCAGAGAGAGAAGAAAAAGTGTCCATGATTCTGAGAGAGTACGAGCAGGTCGTGGTGGACAGCGGCGACGCCCGAGTGACTCCTCTGCAAGCCGGGACAGAACCTGGTTGGACTTTCCCGCAAAGTGTTTTCTTCACTGCTACTGTTCTAACTACTATAGGTCTGTATTCTTTGTAGTATTACAGGGAGTGTTGCATGTAATATAGAAGACTGAAAGGATGTACGTGCTTATTGCGAATAATGGTTAAACACTAGAAACTAATTGCAAGATTTGTCTAATTCTCTAATAGTCAGTCAAATTCATTGAATGTTCAGGTGTTGAGTATTTTTATTTTTTCATTTGTTATTATTATTTCAATATTATTCACATTCACTTTTTGTGGCATAACTGTGAATGTCTCTCTATTTTTGTGCGGTTTGTAAAACGCACATACTTGTAAATCACAATCTATCATTTTTACGAAATTAATTCAATAAATAATTTTGATCGATTACTTTCTGTCTGCTATCGCATTTCCTTGTTTCTTACGGACATCATTTTCCTTTACGTGCGCCATTCTGCTGGAGAGATTTTCCTATATCTGCACCAGATTTTTTAAGCTCTAATTCTACATCTCTCTCTCTCTCTCTCTCTCTCTCTCTCTCTCTCTCTCTCTCTCTCTCTCTCTCTCTCTCTCTCTCTCTCTCTCTCTCTCTCTCTCTCTCTCTCTCTCATCTCTCTCTCTCTCTCTCTCTCTCTCTCTCTCTCTCTCTCTCTCTCTCTCTCTCTCTCTCTCCTCTCTCTCTCCCTCCCTCCCTCCCTCCCTCCCTCTCTCTCTCTCTCTCTCTCTCTCTCTCTCTCTCTCTCTCTCTCTCTCTCTCTCTCTCTCTCTGTCTCACCCTCACCCTCTCCCTCCCTCCCTATCTCTCTCCCTCTTCCCCCTTTTCCTCCCCCTCCCACCCTCTCTCACCCACACACTTCTTACCTCGTTTTCCTCACCATTCCCCTCACCCTCACCCTCCCCCCCTCCCTCCCTCCCTCCCTCCCACCCACCCTCTCTCCCTCATCCCTTTCATCCACACCCTTCTTACTTCCTTTCCCTCATCCTACCCCTCACCTCCCACACCCCCTCCCTTCAAGGCTACGGCAACATCGCCCCTATGACCGTCCGGGGCAAGATCTTCTGCATCGTCTTCGCCCTCGTCGGGATCCCGCTCACCCTCACGATCATCAGTGACATGGGGGAGGTGCTGGCGTCGCTCGTTCCTGTTGAGACGCTGTCCAAGATGCTGCCCAAGTGAGTGAGGGGAGTGAGGGTCGGATGCTTTGATGTTTTTTAAATGTTTGTCTGTTTTTTTCGTTTTTTTTTGGCTTTTTTACTTTTTTTTTTTTTTTTGGTTTGGCCCCTTTTTGTGTTGTGTTTTTTTTTTTACTTTTATTTTCGTTTTCGTTTTTTTCTTCTTCTTTTCGACGATTTTTGTTGGTGGCTCTTTGTTTTTCTTTCTGTTTCTTTTTCCTCCTCTCTTTTTTTTTTTTTTTTGCTTTTTTACTTTTTTTTTGCCCTTTTTTAAAATTTTGTTTTCGTTTTCTTTTGTTTTCTTCTTTTCGACGATTTTTGTTGGTGGCTCTTTGTTTTTTATTTGTTTTTCTCTCTCACTTTTGTTTTTCCCTTACTTTTGTATCATTCTTAATTGCTTTTGTTTTTATTTTATCTTATTGTCGACGTGTGTGTGTACAACACTATCTCACGGGCGATTCGGGGCGTCACTCGTTCCTGTTGAGACGCTGTCCAAGATGCTTTTTTTAAATGTCTGTTTCTTTTACCTTTTTTACTTGTTTTTTTTATCTTTTTGTTTGTTTTTTGTTTTGCACCTCCTCCCCTTTTTGGTGTGTGTTTTTTTTTTTTTACTTTTGTTTTCGTTTCTTTTTTTTTTCTTCTTTTCGACGATTTTTGTTGGTGGCTCTTTATTTTTCTTTCTATTTCTGTTTCTTTTTTTTCTTTCTCTCACTTTCTTGTTTTCCCCTTTACTATTTTCGATGTATCATTTTTAATTGTTTTTATTTTATTTTATTGTCATGTGTGTACAAATCCACTCGTTCCTGTTGAGACGTTGGCCAAGATGCTGCCCAAGTGAGGCAGGGTCGGCCTCTTTGTTCTTTTTGAAATGTCTGTCTGTATTTCCTCTTTTTTACCTTTTTTACTTGTTTTCTTTTCCTTTTTTTTTTTACTTTTTTGTTGTTTTCTTTTTCTTCTTCTTTTCGACCTTTTTTGTTGGTGGCTCTTCTGCTTTTTTGTTTTTGTTTCTCACTTCCTTGTTTTCCGTTTTCTGTTTTTTTTTGTGTGTATTTTTTGTGTTTTTGTTTTTATTCTATATTGTTATCGTCGTGTGCGCGTGTGTATACTAATCCACTCTCTCTTTCGGCCTCTGTCTTTTTTAAAATGTCTGTCTGTTTGTTTTTTACCTTTTTCGTCTTATTTTTCACTTTTGTTTTCTTTGTTTTTCTTTTTCTTTTCGACGTATTGTTTCTGTTGGTGGGTCATGTTTTTGTTTTGTTTTGTTTTGTCTTCTCTCTCTCTCTCTCTCTCTCTCTCTCTCTCTCTCTCTCTCTCTCTCTCTCTCTCTCTCTCTCTCTCTCTCTCTCTCTCTCTCTCTCTCTCTCTCTCTCTCTCTCTCTCTTTCTTACTGTCTTTGTTTTCCCTTTTCCGTGTTTGGCGTATTTTTTTTTGTGTCTGTTTTTTAATTTTATTTTATTTTCGACGTGTGCGCGTGTGTACAAATTCTCTCACTCACATGGGCGAAGTGTGATGGTTATTCTGTCTGTCTGTGTTATTTATGTCTTTATTGCGTGTCTGTGTTTCTTTTGATCTCTTTGTCTTGCTTTCCCTTTTCGTCTTTTGGTGTTTTATTTCGTTTTCGCTTTTCTTTTCGTGTTGTATTTCTTCTTTTTCGTGTGATTTTATTTCTTCTCTTTGTTTATATTTTTATTGTTTTTGTGTTTTTTTTTCATGTTTTCTTCGTTTCTCCTTTTGTCTTGTATTCTTTTTCAATTTTTTTTTGTTTTCTTTCGTGATTCCATTTCCTTTTCGTACTTTGTCTTGTTATCGTGAGTCGTTTCTTCTGTTCGTATTTTCCTTTCTTTTCGTTCCTTTTATTTTTCGTTTTTGTTATTTCCGTGCCTTTTCCGCTTTCGTTTCTAATCGTTATTCCGACCTTTATTTCGATTATTTTCTTTAATTTCATTTCTATCATTTTTCTTTTCTTTTCTTTTCATGTCTATATTTACTTTATATAATTCTCGTTTATTATATACCCCTTTTGCGAGCCTTTTTCACTTCTCTTGGCTTCGTTTTTCCTCTCTTTATGTCTTCTGTTTCTTTGCTTTGATATTCATAGGGTTTCGCTTCTTGCGTTTCCTATGAGTATTTTTTTCGGCTTTTTCTGAGGCTTAGAGTCTGTGATGTACTTCTGTACCGATATGAACGTAATGGACAAACACACACCACACACACACACACACACACACACACACACACACACACACACACACACACACACCACACACACACACACACACACACACACACACACATTCACACGCACACACACATTTACATTCATATTCACACACACACATTCACTCACACACACAAAACATATATATGTACACAAAAACAACAACAAATATAATATATATATATATATATATATATATATATATATATATATATATATATATATATAATATATACATACATACATTTATATATATATATATATATATATATATAATATATATAATTATATATATATATATATATATACACACACACATACACATACATATATACATATACATTATCCACCTCCTCTTCCGCCGTTCGCCCCCAGAGGAAGCTCCGCCCCGTGGCCACCGTCCTGGGCGTCCTGGCCCTGCTGGTGGGCATCATAGCGATGGGAGGCTGCATCTTCGCGCCGCTGCAGAGATGGACGTTCATGGACGCTTTCTACTTCTGCTTCATCACGACAACGACCATCGGGTTTGGTGATCTCGTGCGGGTGAGTGTGTATGGTACGGGGGAGAGAGAGAGAGGGGGGGGGAAGGGAGAGGGAGGGAGGGAGGGGGGAGAGAGGGAAGAGAGAGAGGGGGGAGGGAGGGGAAGGAGAGGGAGAGGAGAGGGAGATGGAGATGGAGAGGGAGAGGGAGAGGGAGAGGAGAGGGAGGGAGGGAGGAGGAGGAGGAGGGAGAGAGAGAGGAGAGAGAGAGAGAGAGAGAGAGAGAGAGAGAGAGAGAGAGAGAGAGAGAGAGAGAGAGAGAGAGAGAGAGAGAGAACGAAAAGAAAAGTAAAAGAAAAAATCAGTTTTGGTGATCTCGTACCAGGTGTATATGGTACGGGATGTGTGTTCTTTAGGAACTCTGCTATGGTAAGAGAGAAAAAAGAAAAGAAGAGAGATAAGAAAATAGAAATATAGATGGATAGATAGATAGATAGACAGAGAGAGAACGAAAAGAAAAGTAAAAAAGAAAACCCTAGATACAAACATTTCAAGTAAAACTTTACTCCTGTCTCGGCAAGAAAGGAAAAAAAGGTGCCTTAACTTCACTAATCTTCCCTCTTAGTGTTTCATTCCACGAGTATATTATCCACAGACTACGCGAGAGTCGAGAGCTGCGACCACCCCACCCACTCTAATCTCCCGCAGACATTCCGCGTTCCATTCCCATTCATTCCACATTTCACTTCCTCCCACAGACAATTCACTCCACGTTCCATTCCCTCCCGCAGGCAATTCACTCCACATTTCCCTTCCTCCTACAGACGTCGGGAAGACCTGGTCCCTGATGTGCTGCACGTTATACATCCTCGTGGGTCCTGTGTTCACCTCCACCGTGATCGAGCTCGTGCGCCGTCAGTACGCCTCGTCGTGGGAGCAGATGAAACAGCTGTCCCTTCGACTCAACACGATTTCAGGGCCGCTTGCTGAGGCCATGAGGAGGATGGCGGAGACGGGGGCTGGAGAGGTGGGGTTGGGTTGGAGTATGGGGGCAGGGGGGATAGGAAGGGAGGTTGGGGGTATGGAACGATGGGGATTGGGGAAGGGGTGGGTATGGGGCTATGGGGATTGGGGAAAGGGATGGGATGGGATTGGGGAATTGGGGTATGGGAGGGATTGGGGAAGGGGGATAGTGTAACTATGGGAAAGGGAGGATTGGGACACAGGGAAACGGGGGTATAGAAGCTTTCGGGAATTAGGGAATTAGGGGACGGGAGGTTGGGGGAGTTTGAGGTTGGGGAACGATGAGTTTAGGGGAAATTTTAGTAATGGGGGAAGTTGGGGAATAGGTAATGGGAAGTTCCGATTTGTAGAGACAGATTTTGGTACCATAGTTGGTGTACTGGTATTAATGCTTGTTTGTGTTATGGTTAGATTGTAAAATTACAAAATTTGTAACATGAGGTATTTAGTTTCTCATTCAAGTTCTTATCAATTCATTTACTACGTCACTGAGTCAGTAGTATTAAACGATAAATCCAAGACATTCAACAGAACTATCT